TCGCCATCGGTCCGCGTATAGAACGCATGAGTACTATTCGAACATATCGGGCCTTTGTTGTTTTCTGTTTCTGACGGCCCAATGACGGCCGTTAGCTGTGATCCTCGAATAGAACGCGGGATTACTGCTCGAAGATCGGGCTCTTCTGGTCCTCGAGTAGAACGCCGGGTAGACAGTTGTGATCATCCCCTCCCTCCTGATCAATGGTGACTCGAAAGGACCGGTTCTCGAATAGTACTCCCACGTTCTATTCGAGGATCATTCGAGTGACGGGTCATCTTTCGCGTTTCTTCGGGGTTTTCTACGTCGTCTCTCTCCTTCCTCTCCTCTCTCTCTCCTCTCTCCTCTCTCCTCTCTCCTCTCTCTCTGCTCTCTCTTATCTCTCTCCTTCCTCTCCTCTCACTGATCTCTCTCCTCTCCTCTCTCCTCTCTCCTCTCTCTCTGTTCTCTGCTGTCTCTTCTCTCTCTCCTCTCTCTGCTCTCTCTTCTCTTTCTCTTCGTTCTCCTTTCTCTTCTTTCTCCTCTCTCTCCTCTCTCTCTTATTTGAGTCAAGGCCCTTTCTCCTCTCTTTTGCGAAGTATTCCATTTTAGGAAATCTTTGGTGCTCTCTTCTTTTTCCCCTTCCTTTTAGGAAAACGGGTGGTAGAGCAGAGGTGGGAAGGGGTGAAGGATAGGGACGTCAGTTCATTGATGAATGCTCAAGGCCGTCGCCGTGTTTTTTTTTTTTTTTTTTTTTTGGCTTTTTAGAAAAACCCTTGCACTTTTTGAAAAGGCCACCCGATGTCAGATTAGACACAATATTGAATGTGCCGCGACTTGTTAGTCCGATGATAATACCTCAAGGCCATCGCCCTGGAGAGAAAGGAAAAAAGAAAAGGGAAAGAGAAAAAAAAAGAAACAAGAAAGGGGGAAAAAGGGGTAAAGGAGGAAGTGGGGGGAAGGAGGAAGTGAAGGGTTTTCCGCAGTCTTTGGGCCTCGCTCCACTGCACCACATTTTAAATGTATGTGGACTCTTTTGCCGTCCATATACATTCACACTGGTCCTCCGCTTTGAGTGCACCGAGATGCCTATCCAATCAAGATACATTTGAAATGTTGTGTTGTTTAGTTGGAGCGAGGCCCTTTTCATTTATTTTATTTATGATCTGTGCCCCCGGTCTGAAGGACGAGGAAGGGGTTGGGGGGGGGGGGGGGGGGGGTCGCTGTGCAGGGAAGGATGGGGAGAAGGCTGAAATTTTGTTTCCCTCCTAATTGGACAGTGGTATGCGCCTTTCGGACTCCTTCATTTTTGCAAGAGAGAGAGGAGGAGAGGAAGGAGAGGGGATTGAAGCTGAGTGCGCAGAAAAGCTGTCCATTAGGAGAGGGTGAAGCTGAGTGCGCAGAAAAGCTTTCTCTTCAGTGTCTGTTGAGCAAGTAAGAACGGGAGCACCACACTCACACACACACACACCTGTCTCTTATACACATCTAGATGTGTATAAGAGACAGCCCTTAAGCATACATTCCTTTATTAATGTGGTTTATC